TTGACATAGTCAGATTTAAAAGTCATCTTGTGACTTTTGTCAATCCTGGATGAAAAGATTGAGGAATCAGAAAAAGGGAGGACTGTGGAGAAGACCAAGAACAGGCTGGTGATGCTCTCATTCCTTCATCAATTTCTTCTTGGTTCATGTGCATTTGACTTGAAATTATTATACACAGTAAAGAAAATTTGTTGGGAACTGTCCCAAAACTTGGTTGAGTGGAAGTAATGAAGTCTTTAGTTACTGTGGTCAAGATAGGCCATTTTATGTTCAGGACTATAAAAGGATTGTCCAACAAACTCATTTAAAATGGGAATTAGAGATACTGATTATTTTCTCAAAGTTCTAGGCAGGCCGTACTCACTTGGTATGGTTCTAACCAACTTCATTTAAAAATAACTCACATTTACATAGTGAAGTAGGTAGTGCATTTTACAGTTGAGGAAACCAAGGCTAAGAAAAGTTAATTGATTTTACCATATTCACATATATGTTAGGAAGTGTCTGAGGTGAGGTTTCAACCTAAATCTCTTGACTCCACATTCAGGGCACTTTCTGCCTTGCCATACTGTCTCTCATTTCATGTTAACATCATTATGTATTATAGCCATGATTTACCATTAGGTCATAAAGCCATATTGCAATTTTATTTAGGAAACTTCTCCTTTCTTATTCCCCCCCCCCAGCCCTCCACCTTTGGAACTAGCTAATTTCTATATTACAGTTTCACCTAATGTTATGTTTTCTCATTCCAATATGTTTCTAATTCAAGAGGTAAGTTGTTATGCTTATACAAGGTAACTAATGCAAAATAAGACCATAGTTATCCTGTATTAGTGTTTATATTTATGCTTCCTGGAATCTCCTTTCTGAAAGTCTCTGTTCTGGTCCAAAGGACTTTCATTTTTAAGGAATACTCTTAGGCAATGAGGAATCATGTCTTTGAAGACCAATTCCAGGTTCTATGACTGACCTGTGACCTGAACTTGAAATGGCTTCAAGGAGACAGAATTATTGGGAATCTCTTCATGCTTTTTTTTTTGAAGTGCTTACTTATGGAAGATATTTATATTTCAATAGATAGTTTTATCCTCAATAAAACCTATCTTCATGTTGATGATCTTGTAATAGAATCACAGTGAAGAAGCTGCCATGAAACCTAGAAGAACTAACTCTATGTTAAAATTATGGTGTTTTTGGCATGAGATTATGAGGCAGCATCATGTAGTGGACCAAGCTTAATGAGGCCTGGATTTGAGTGCTGGCTTTGACCCAAGTTAAGCTATATGACTTTAACAAAGCATTTAATCTTTCAACCTTAGTTTCTCATCTGTAAAATAAAGACTTTGGATTAGATGGTTGATTAGATCTCTTTTAGCTCTAAAATCTTATGATTCTATGAACTACTTAACTCTCATGACTCACAATTTACCCATTTATCAGAGGCCTAATCATATTCTCCTATCACTTGAAAGCTTCATTGAACATTTAGAAAATACTTTCAAAGCTATGAAGGACATACAAGGTCAAGAATAAAGACAGAGTTATGGAGCACACTTGGACTATTTCTATATACACAATCATTCAGGCAGAACTGAATCAGTTTCAAATTGTTTATGAATCAGTTGATAACAGGTCAGTTCGGAAAACCCATACATGCAGTTAAAATAGTTGTACTATTTTGGTGGATCTATATTGCTAAACATTTTGAAAACTTTCATTCAACTGACCATTTACCAACTAATTAAAAACTTAAAACTGGTGAATTATATGTCTGGTTGTGTATAGACACAGCACTAGAGATATCAAAGAAAATTTTTGAAGGAATACAATTCATTACTTCCTACTGACTTATCTATTAAATCCATATATGGGCAAAACACTATGCTGAGGGAGCTATACAGATAACTGAAATGTGGTTCCTGTCCTCTTTTAGCATGGAATTAGTTATACTATTATATATTCCTCACTGGTCTTCCATGCAAGGTCAACAAAAGTTATATACTAAAGGTAAAACAAAAACTATTTAAAAATAAACACTTTCAATAATAAGCAATCAGATAAAACAAAGCATTACAAATTCATTTTGACAACGGCATTGTGAAGCATTCTACATTTTAAAATGCAGAAGGACCTGAGCAGAGAAGGCAGAAATGGTTGCTTTAGCCATTGCAATGATTGAGTCAGGTCACTTTGGGATTGATCTGGCTGCAGAGCATCCAAATTGATTAATCAGACTGACCATGTTGCACTAGCCTCCTAGGATTGGCAGTGCTGCAGCCTACTTATTTCTTCAGGCACAGCCAATACTTCTACTGATGTTCCATTCGGCAGGATCTACACATTCAGAATAATGTGGAGAATGGAAGCTATTTGCAATCATTCATTTGTCAAAAGCAATTATAATGCAACAAGTAGATTAAGAGAGTCAGTCTTCCATTTTGCATGTGTAGAAGCAATCTACTTGCTAGATTCTTAGAGCATTCATTTATAGTAGCATATCTTTGTGGTATTCAAAGTATGTTCTAGGAAAAATTTACAATATGAATGGTATTAATAATGGTAATTTCTTACTCTTGAGAGGTGTCACTGGAGGTAGCGTATAGTGACATTAGTACAAAACCATGCTCACTTTTCAAAGTCTCAATTATTTATACATATTACTAAAAATTATATCAATGTTTTGTTAAAATGAACAGAGAATTAAGTTCTCAGTTTTCAGTTGAAAGAGAAAGTAACAAATCAATATATATTTTTTCATGATAGTAATTTACCAGGGGCCTATCTCTTCTTTCAGTAGAGACTGTAGTTGACTATCAAATAAATTGCATATCCACTTCTGCTCTTGTGTATCTAGAAAACTATACTAGAAATGTTTATCATTGTTCAACAATAGATTTAGAAGAGAGAAAATTTCCAGAAAAATGGGAAATGTACAGAATACCACTAGTTAGTTTTTTTTTAGGAAACTGATCAAAATACAAATGAACCACAGTTAAAAGTTCCAATTTTACATTCCCTCAATATTTCTGCTTTGCAGAAATTTTAAAAATATCACAACAAAAACCAGCACTGAAAATTTACGCTCCTCTTGTCATTATAACTTGTGTTTCTTGTATTTCAGAGATCTAAAACCAAGATCATCTTTTCATTGCTCCTATGGTTGTTGGGGGGAGGTATATTTGGCTTATCTTTTCTTCATATTGGAAGGCAAGAGACCTAAATTCTAGTCCTGGCTGTAATTATTGCACTACTTCATTAACTAGCTATTTGACTTTGGGTAAGTCAAGTCACCCCTACTAGTTTCATATTTCTCATATGTAAAATGAGGGGTTGGACTAGATGACATTTACAGTACTGTCTAGCCTTAAATATTTTATGATTTTAGGATATACTTGCTTCCTTTGTGCACCTTTAGTATATCTTTGCAGCAGAGGTGATACCTAATGACTGCTCATCCCAAAGGCATTGGAAATGCTTTTGCTTCCATCAGCTATCAGCAAATTATAAAGAGAAAAATCTAGTTGTCTTATCTGCAGAATGAATGTTAGCTTGGTCTTCACACATGCAATGGCAACTCTTTTCTTAGTGTATACCCTTGTTGGCACAACTATCTAGTGCCATACATGAGTTAATTTGAGGCATGGTACAACAATCACATTAGGCTTTGTGTTATTCTACTGAAATTATAAATATTTGTATTATTCTATTGAACTTAAAACTATTGTGCCGAAGACAATAGAAAAAATGCAATGGCTGATTAAACAAAGGAGTTTTAATCTTCAGTTATGTGTTTGTTGGTTTTTAATGGAATGAATTGCTTGATACCACATATTCAGAACTCTGGCCAGATTCTGGGTCTATGACTCTATGCACATGAACAACTATTTAAAAAAAATCCACAATTGTCTGCTTGCTTTATCTGCACAAAGGAAGTTTCATTGATTTGTTTTTGTTTTGCACTGAACTGAGTTTGTATTGGTATCAGATAAAGAAAATCTTGGTGGATCTATGGTAGATTCTGACCCAATATGTGGAAGCAGGTTCTTTGAAAAGGTAAAGTTTGAGTAACTAGAGTTGGATACAGATGGCAAAGGAAATACAAAATCTGAGTGTAAATAGCTGCCCCAAATTGGTAGGGATTTGCCAACCTATCTGCTTGTCTCATTATAAATTCAGTCTATGTAAATCCAGAAATAGTCAGGAATTCTGGAGAATTGGCCCTTACTGCTCCTTCCCAAACATTCCCAAGTAGGATCCTTTGGCTTTTTGGAGCAAATATGACTTGTCTATAGTTGTCTAGACCTAGTCTTTGTAACAATCTTTAAATACATAAAAGGATATTTTTTTTGGGTGGGGAACAGCTTTTTTCTATTGCCGAGGTCTACATACGTTCAAGAGGTTAAGTTGTAGGGGAGGGGGAATGCTGGGAGAACAGCAAGAAGGGCTTCCTGTAACAAAGTTATAAAGAAAACAGAAACATTGTGAGATGTCTTTCTTTACAGATTTTTAAGAGAAGAATAGATCATTATTTTTCTGGAACAGCTAGAATAAACTTGTCCAAGAGCAGGGTTCTTAAGATTTTTGTGTCATAGGTCTCTTTGGCAAGCTGGTGAAGCCTACAGACCCCTTCTCAGAATGTTTTTTAAACGTATAAAATAAAACACATGTATTTGTCAAGGAAACTAAATATATGAAAGACATTATCAAACTCTAAAAAAAGAAAAAAAAGGCTCAGCTGTCAGCTTAAGATCTTCCTGTCTAGTTGATCTCTCAAGCCCTTTCCAGTCCTAGAATTCTATGAATGTAGCTTTTCCTGTAGGGGGCAGCTAGGTGGTACGGTGGATAGAGTGCAGGGCCTAGAATCAGACTTAAGTTCAAATACAGCCTCTGATACTTATTAGCTGTGTCACCCTGGGCAAGTAATTCAACCTGTTTGCCTCACTTTCCCCATCTGTAAAATAATATGGAAAAGGAAATGGCACACACTTTGGTATCTTTGCCAAGAAAACCCCAAAAAGGGTCATGAAGAGTTGAATACAACTGGAAAATGACTAAACAACAAAAGCCTTTCCATCAATATTTTGCCTTCTAGTTAAATTGATAAAATGGCATCAGAAAGAGTTCCTTCAGTAGCTTAATTTGAGAGTGTGACGGGGGCCAGGATTGAAATGAACTTTTTCAGAGTCTTGTAGAACATTTTATATTTTCCCCATAGTAAGTCCTTTAAAACATTTAAATATCCACTCTACAATGCTTGTCAATTGATCAGTCGGTTAGATTCTTTACTATTCTGACTGGTGTGGTTTTTTGCATTTATGTAGTTTAAGCTTGGATAAAACATCTAATAGCCATATTGGGGTTCAAAGCTTCAGGTTCCAAATCTTCTGGCCTATATGAGAAATAAACCTCTTGCCTAATCCATGTACTGTGCTATTTGGAATGCAGGAAAAGTCTACTGCACAGTAGAAACTTGGCCCATAGAATTTAGTTAGGGGCACAGCAAATTGAATAGGACAGCTGAAGAACAGGCTAAATCTCTGCCACATTCCTGAAATAGTTTTATAGCTCATCAAATTGTAGGGGAGAATTAAAAAATAACATGAATATTCTTTCAGTGAAAGTTGTGTTGTTGTTACTTCTTATTCTGAAACATCTAACCATCTTTTTTCTCATCCAGTCAGGTGATTGTCATTCATACTGTCTTTGTAATAAAATTATTATATTATGCAAATATATGCATATGTGTACACACATGTATATACATATACACACATATATACTTATATAGTTACAGATATAGTTGTAATTATAGTTATAGGTATATTGCCCTCAGTGAAGTCATCTTCTTCTCAGACATATACTAATCTCTCTGATTTTCCACTGGTTAATTTCTGACTTGAGCGAAAAAGCTCTGATCGTAATGAGTTTGGGTAGTTCTCTGGATGACAAAACCCAAATAGCCTATCTCTTTAGGCTCAGGCAGTGTGTGTGCAGTATCTTTCATAACTTAACTTAGTGTTCTTTTTAGATATAATCTACACATCAAAGAGGAGCCCTGATTTGATTCTCCCATCTCAGCAATTATTTTTGAATCACATTTGTAACATTGTAGACTAGGGAATGCAAAAAATTTAGATGTGATTTATGGGAAAGAGTGAGCTGTCTCCCCCATACAGATTATAAATGTGCTTGATTGGCATTTAGAAAGAAAGAAGAAATGTCATATTAAAATTTAACTATCACTTGGCCAGACTGCTATCCAGACTACAAGAACAAAGAACCATTCAGGAAGAAACCAATGATCTACAGTAATGGTGATTTCTATGCCTGCATTAGAAATAATGAAAAATGGAAGGGCCAGAGCCATGCCCTCATGGTAGGGTCTATACAGCTTCACATAGAAGATAATTTTGTCCAAGACCCTGGGATTGCCCAAATTGCTCAACTGTTTTTCCTCCTGAAGGACTCGTAAATTGTAGATATAATGTATTTGACTTGGACCTATTGGAAAGAAGAATATAAGACCCAGAATTCACTTGGTAAAGAAAGGTCAGGAATCCACACTTCTTTTGGAACAAAACAGTCACCTTTGATACAATAGACATGGAAAAATTGTCAACTAGAGCCCATAGACCTGACACAAATTTGAACACTGCATATTCAGGGTCCAGGTCTGAGGTGGCCTTGGGAGAGGCAGTAGACAGTCTAAAAAGGGTCTCCCACTCTCCCACTCTCCAACATTGCTTGTTCTAGAGAATATCATCTTAATGGCCTTGTGTAGCCTCTGAAGAGGGCAGTTTGTGTGACAAAGACAGACTCATTAGACCAATTCTGTGCTAAAAATAATCTTCCATCTCTCAGATGGCTTAAATTCCAAAAATAACAGTGACTGTATTCTGAGAACCTCTCAGAACCACTATCCAGTTTGGCTTAAAGGATGGTGAATGGTGCCAAGGTTCAAATACCCTTGGTCTCTAACAAAATCAATTGTCATTATGCTAGTGGCCTACCAAGTACACGAAGCCACTCATGTCTTTAGCTTCCTGTGTAATAAATAGTGAGAGACATACTATGTGTCCCCATAGATTCAGAGCTCATGATCTAACCTGCAGGGGAGCCCAGCTCATGAGCATCTGGCAAGGGATGTTTTCTGTAGAAAAATAAGGTAACATAAATGTATTACAATTTATTCAGTTTGAAAAGAAACTGGATGAAAGCATCAAAGTTACTCAATGTCATGAATGCATCAAGCAAACACCAACCCACAGTGGAAAAGGCAATTAAATAACCAAAAGAAAATCCCACACAGCAAAGAGAGAGAGGGAAGTAGGTAGGCTATGGAAATCAGTCTTTTCTCTATTACCAATTTAAAGAGTCTGAACATAATGTTAAACAGAGATCCCTCTTAAATTAGCCACAATAATATGATACAGAACTCGGACTCCAGGTAAGAAAGGGGGCCACCTAGGAGGATATATGAAGGGAAAGAAGGGGCACCAAGGCAAATTTTTTAGTACTAGTTTTTAAATATATGCACATACTTGGAATCACAGAAAATTCTGCTCTCCATGATATGCAAGTGTTTATTTTCTGTAAAGTAATCCCATGTATCACCCTGACAGTTCCAAGTCTCTGGTAGAAAATAACCTGGGGAATGGTGGTAGGGGGCTGGGATTCTCTAGTGAAGGAGTGAAGGGGGCCATTTTCAAATCTATCCTTAGGTGCCTTGTTTCTAGTTCTACTTAGCACGGAATGCTCAAAATAGACAGCAGTTTCTCTGCTGCTAAAATATCAATATGAAAATACTTTAAAACATATATTTAATAGCATAGCTATAAATGTAAAATTTCTTTCATCAATTCCTTAAAGGTTCTTACAGCTCAAAAAAGTGGAGTTTTTGTTGGCCTTGCTAAATGTGCTAAGACCCTTGCAGACCAGTGGGCAGGGCAATAGAGAACATCTTGACTTTTTAAGCTGTGGAAAATAGTTTTAGTAAACATATGACCCTAAAAGGGCTTTACTTTTGAAGAATATTCAATTTGGTTTGGGGCACTTTTAAAACAATCATTTGGCACTTCGAGTTTGAAGTTCTTAGGCACAATGTGACAAAGTCAGTTTGGTCAGTCCCTCCTCATGCATTCTGTATAGTAGCTGAAACTCGGCAGGAAGCTGGTGGGACTCCTGCCACTTGGTCGTAAATTTGGTTCCTTTTTTGTCATAGTAATGGTAAGGAAGGTCTTCCCGAGTGTTGGGGTCAAATCCAAATGGCCAAAATCCATACAAGTGGATCTCTTCACACATTGCAGATGCAAGGGTGTACATAAGAATACCTGTGCTCAGCCGTTTGGGTGTCAACCGTTTGTTTTTCCAGTACCTGCAGAATAATAAGCACATGCTGATTTAGCGACTGAGGCTTTGTGTCACAATGTGACAGGTCAACATGCCTCAGCTTAGTAGGTGATAGGTAGGTTTCAGAGAGTATAAGGTCTGTTATTCAAGTTAGGGCTTGCAGAGTTCTGTCCTGGAAGTGCTTTAAGATTCCAATGTCTTAGGGTCTTTCAAAAAAAATGACTGCTATGATTTAGTGAATGAGAAGGCAAACAAATTTTTTATACTTCATTTACTAACTGCCTACTATGTGCCAAGTAGTCAGTAACACCTAGACTAGTGTTTTGCACGTACTTGAGGCAATGATGTGGCACAGTAGATAGAACACTAGACTTCAAATCAGGAAGACCTGATTTTGAATCCTACCTTAGACACTAGCTGGGTAACCCTAGGGCAAGTCACTTGACCTCCCTCAGCCTCAGGTTTCTTAGCCATAAAATGGGAATGAGAATAGCATCTATTTTACAGGGTTATTGTGAGATCAACTGAGAACAAACGTGAAGTGCCTTCAGAACTTTAAAAGTATCATACACATACTAGTTATTATTATTGAATATTTGACTGTGTCATGATGAGGTACTCCAGGTTTAATGGTTCCCTGTAGATCAATCAGTTCATCAATAAATATTTACAAAGAGCGTGTTGTGTATTAGACACTATAAAAAGGTGAAAATAAAATGGTTACTGTTCTCAAGAAGCTTGCATTCTATCCAGTGAGACATGTATATACGTATATCTACAGAAAATATATTTTTTTAAAATACAAGGAACTTTTTATAGTGAAAGCACTAGCATCTGGGTGGGGGTGGACCAGGAAAGGTCTCATGTAGGAGGTAGTGCTCATTATGAGTTCTGAAGGAAACTCATCTATAACTAGCAATATGACTTAGTACCTAAGTCTTAGAGAGTTGCTTGAAGAACATAAAGGTCAAATGACTTTTCTAGGCTCACACAGCTAGTAAGTTTCAGAGGCAAAATCTGAGCCCAGGTCTTTCTGACTTTTAGTCCAGTACTCTCTCTTATATTCTCTGTGCTTTTCACATAGTAGGAACTTAACAGATAGTTGTTGAGTATATGAACGAATGAAACATTATCCATTTTGAAGGTTACATGTGCTCCTAATACAAGGGGACTTTCCTGGCATTTTCTTACATTGGACGAGTTTAGTTAGTTCCTTCCTATTCATTCTTCATAGTAGCTGAAACTTGGCAGAAAGCTGGCAGGACACCTGTCACTTTGTCACCTGACTATTTGCTGTAACATGGGAGCATACAATGCATATATTTCTATATACATACATACACAATATGTGTATGCACATAAACACATGTATATATGTACACATACAAAAATACATTAAATCTCTTGGTTTTAGAAAGATTTTGGACTCTGGCTTTTGTTTACACATTGTTTGGACAAGCCAAGGGATGTTTGTGAAGGTGGTAATTATGCACAGGAACAGGCAACGGATTCCCTTTCTCATTTTCTGACCAGCAGCAGTTCAATTGCTTATTAGTAAACACGGGTCTAAAAGTTAATGACCCATAACTTCTCTAAATTTAGGGGGAAATGCTAACATGCCTATCTCCCAATTAGGAATGACTCTGAAACCCCAAAACAAGCTAGAATATTGTATTTCTTAAATTTTTGGCTGTGACTTTCACACTCGTTCTGTCCTTGAATTTGAATTTACAATGGACAAAATTTCATTTCTGTAAAACCAACATGTTTAATTTGAGCTCGACCTGGATTTTGTGGAACTATGTTAAAAAACCATATAGAGAATTCAGCCAAAATATAATGGTCTTTCTATTGGAGTTCCCAAATCTTTGAAGTGTCTTACATACTACCTATGTGGCAAATAATTTACTTTTCATTTTCAGCTGAGAGTAAAAGATTTTACATAAATATTAAAAAATCCAAGACCTTGATTTTCTTTTAATACTTTTGTGTCACTGAGGTAACCAAAGCTAAAGAGAGCAAGAACCCATTAGCTGAGTGTACCCTCAATGTTAAAACTGTCATGGAGCCAGAAGGAAGGTATCTTCTATGCAGATGGAAACGTTTAGAGTCTTCTTTCTCTTAAGCTCCTATTCTACCTCATAATGTAAGTGAACTGCTTAATTTAGGTAGGAAGTTAGACACTCACAAGCTGTTTAAGAAGGACAAGTTGAGAGTTGAGGCAATTTTTCAGGAAATTTAGAATAAGTAAAATCTTCCTACCCAGGAAAAGAAGAATTATTCATACAATTATTTATAGCCACTTTGGCTGTTTTCATTTAGTAAGCTAAACAGAAAACTAGTCAATTTCCCATTTTATTTTTTTCACTAGTTAGTATACAGAATGTGTTCTCTTCCAACACATTTAACTTTCCTGAATCCAGTGCTTCCAGCACTAGTATAGTAAATAACTTAAAAATGAGTTACACTTAAAGAGTTAATCAACAACTTATTCTCATTAGGCTTACTACTATGGTAACATAAAACTTAGACATTTGTGAATGCAGGTAGAAAACTTGGAGAGAGGTATTAAGTTTGAGAAAATACGTGAAATGATTATTTAACCTGAACAAACACCACTGCTGTGGCTTCTGTTCTACAAGAGTTCACATATAAATTACTCTTATTTGGGAACAGCACCTGAAGAATGTCGACTTAGAGAAATGATTCAAAGAAAGTTTTTCATCCTTAGTATTGTTGGAGAAGTGGTATGGGATTAGAAGATGGCCAACAATACATTATTATAACTCTCAATTATACTGAAGCTGATTGTAAAATTTGCAGATTCTCCAGGTTTGTTTTATTTTTTTTGCTTGATCTGGGTTTTGCCTATGCCTCACCCAATGAATTGGATAAGATGGGGGAAATGGATTCAAAAAATATGCTTTACTAGTCTTTAGGCTTTTCTACATGAATACAGATTAGGTAGAGAAAAGCAAAGGAGACAAAACACCAATTTGTCCATTGGCTCTTAGCAGCTCAAAGTAGAAATCAAGTTAAAATGATTCCAATAGCTAGTTACAAGTTGGTCAAATAATCATTTGTGTAAACTCTCCATAACAACCAATTGTGAATGGCCCTCCCACCATAGATCAAGTGATTAATTTGCTATTTGAGCAAAAGATGGATTAGATGTAGTAAAATATACACACCTGTTGACGTGTTGCATTATATTTCCAGGCCAAGCCAATTGGACCTTTAACTGACCTCTGTGCTCGACAAAAAAATCAACTAGTGTCCTGGTGACAGTTGTTGAAGTATGGAAGAAAAATGCAGGGATCCAGAGGATGGCCCCATCAAGCTTTTTTAAACTGAGGAAAAAGTTGTTACGATCCTGAATGGTCAAAAGATTGTTGTAATACTTTTCCAGAATGCTAGGGTTGAAGGTGGTAAGGTTGGTTTTCCTGCCAACATCTTTTTGGAATGCCTCAGTGGGGGCAAAATTGCAACGGAAAACAAAATCAGATTTATCTATTTCTTGTCCACATTGGCTCCCTGTCAGGATCCCACTATTTCCAACCACAGTACAAATATTATAATGCTTATTCATAATGGGTGACACATCTGGAAGCAGTGATCGGAAGTTATTGCTAATAGAAAAAACATATTTATGGCTGGAATAATCATAGTGCATCAGCTGTCCAATCCGAACACTATTCTTGGTCAAAGAAAAATTTTTTATTACATCGACATGTTGAAGAATCTCTTTCCTAAAATAAAAAAAAATTCATTAAATGTATCCCATTCAAAACAATTGATTTTTCAATTTTATTTCTTTTATGCTACTATTTCATTCAGAAAATAATCTTAAGAATTTTGAACCAATGGAAAAAGAAATCTATCGATTACTATCATAGTCTTTGGAAGGAGACCAGCATAATATTATAGGATCATGCTAGTCCTTGGGTCCAGTGTTCTAAATGTGGGTTCCTTTCTTGATAATAAAATTTGGGGCTGACGATATGCTAACTATAGCTATCATGTACCTGTTCTATGGCTTATGTTGAGGATGTGGATAATGAAAAGGTGACCCCAAGCTCAATCTGTGCCAGCAAATAATCAATGGGATACAGCTACTATCTGTCATTGGGTAATCATGTTACTCATTTAAGTTGGAGAACTGGCCTTTGTTACATGGGACTGCCTTCTTGCTATTGGATTGCAGTGCACAAGGCATATCAATTACTTCCTCTTTTTTTTTCTAAAATAGTGCCAAACATCTACAGGAGAGCGAGTACAGTATTATATGTTGTTGAAATATTAAAATGGTAATAGCAGAGGGGATAGTTGAATATTTAATGAAAATGAGATGATAATCTCATCAGGAACCTTTGAATAATGAAATAGGGAATCAGGGAATATTGTCCTTTGAGATGTAGAAACAAAATGTATTTGGAGGAAATTAAAAAAAGAATTATTATAAAACACTGAAAATATGCCCAGTATTCTAGTTTGGCTTTTATGATGATTTTTGAGAAAAATGAACAAATCCTACATTGCTAAATCATTCAAAGTATTTAAGAAAAGCAAGGAACATGTTGCTTTATGGTCAAATCCAATTTTATTATACTTATCAAATTACGAATCTGTGTAAGGGGAAGTGTATGATCCAGAACTTAGTGTTACTCAAAGTAATTTCACAATGGCAAAGGGAAAATATGTTCTGTTATTTGTTCATTTTTTATGTTATTGACTTAAAAATGGAATTTTTGTGAAAAAATTTTAAAGAAGTATATGTTTTGAAAGGTTAAATAATCACAAGGCGAGAACATTTTCATTAGGTTGGAAATATGATGAGCAATTGGTATAGAACCTAATCAGTTGAAAATTAGTATCTCCCACAAAAGTTTTCTATGTTATTAGCTAAAAGAGCTGTATAGAAGCCCATATCTGGATTCTTAGAAATAATTTGTTTTATTGTGTTCTAATATCAATATACTGAATTTTAAAAATTGAATCATAGTCACTTAAGATAATGCTTTAAAACAATGCCTTGATGTCACCAAGGAGTTTCTCTCATTTTACTTCTGATGAGATATTATATGTCAGTATATTAAAAATGTATACCCTGCATGGGTAGGTGCTATAAGCACCATGCACTGTTTCTTAAACTTAAAGCTTTGTGAAAACACATCTCTGCACCTCTAATGAGTACACTAGATGGCTCACGTTTCATTTAGCAGTATAATAACCCCACTAAAGCAGCAACTTAACTCAGGGAAACAGGTGAAAGCTAGAAATGCTGAAGATTTAAGTTCTATCTTGCATAAATTATTTCAAATAAATTCTGTAATTTTTCTCTTGATTATTTATCAATAAATATGAGACTGATGTAAGGCATAACTCATAATAATAACCTAAGATCACTTTACCATATATTAAAAGCTACAAGGGTTTAATTTTTAAAGGAAATCACATTATATACATACACACATCTATACATGTACATGTGTATGCATGTGTGTATATATTTGTTGGTTTTACTAATTTTATGTGGTGAATTAGAAGAAATTATTATCTTTCCATTTTAATTAAACAATACACATAACATAGATTACATACATTTCAGTAAGACATTCAGTAAATAATAAGCATTTAAATTGTATGAATTTACTATGGGACTCCCCTCCCACGTTTGTATTTGAATCACTTTGGATGATACATTGTGACCAAAATATTGTTTAGGGTTTTTGATGCTTTGCGGACTATTTTATTGGTACTTTCACCTTAAACTATGATTTTAATGTGAGGTCACATTAGAAAGAAGATATTTAAAATAATATTTCATTGAATTTGATGTAAATTATTTAGACTTTTTCCTCCAGTCAGAATTCTGATGCTGACATCGTTTTCTACTTATGAAGGGGCACCCGGTATTAGCATTAATTACAAGTTACCATTTTGTATAGGCCAAGAAAAAACAGCAAACATGCCCTGACAGCAGGGAAAATTCTTGTTTCAAACTATTGTATTCAGAAACACTTTTTTTTTAACTTTTGTGCCTTCCTCCTATCCTACCTTTGACGTAAAAATGCTGTCCGGTTAAATGTCCACTTAGAAGGTTTCTCCTGGAGTTCCTGGGTCAGAGAATTCGTAATGGGTACAAATGATGGGTCTAGAAACTTCAGTGCAAATTGTGACCTGGAAGGAATTATGAGTACATAAGCAAAATAATCAGCCTTTGCTTTTAGAGCCAGAAGGCCATTAAAGTTCAACTGGGCTGGTCCAGACAGCACTATACAAAAAAAAAGTCTCCATACTCCTGTCACCATCACCTCTCCTTTAACTCTTTTTGGTTAAACAAAAAAGAAGGAAATATGACAAAAAAATACACTTAATATTCTCATTGCTTTACCGGAGAAATCATAAAATGGCCGTCAAGCATAGAGAACGGGGGGGGGGGGGCTGAGGCTGAAAACGACAAGTAAATGTAAAGCATGCACCTAGCCAGAGTAACTCAACGAGTCAGCACCGCGGACAGCGACCGCCCACAAAACCAGGCAGAAATCCAAAACACTTCAACACTCCAGGGCCTGACTAAATTGTTTTTGAAGAGGAAAGGCAGAGGAGAGTGCAGATGGGGGAGGGGGCGAAGGGTGGTCTCCTGCTTTAGCTTCTTCCATCTAGAATCTGTTTCTGGTTTAATTCACTATTTCCTGACAAAGGAGGCCCATTCCCTCAACTTCCACAGACTCTGCGGAGGTCTAGCGGCAGCCGCGAACTACTTGAGGGATTGGGCGGGAAAGGCTTCCTAGTGCCTAATCCAGGTCCCGGAACACCAGGGTGTTGAGAGCATAGGGCAAACCTTTCCCTCAGGCGCAACACATACATCTAATGGCCAGATTCTGGCAGCAGGATTTTGTTTTTTCCTGTCATTCCCCCTCCCCCAAACAATCTACAGGCCCTTAGTGTGCAAGACACCCCTCCCCCACTACACACACACATACACACACACACACACACACACACACACACACTCGCAGAAGAGAAATGGGTCTGAGAACGGGGGTGGGAGTCGTCAGAATGCCTAGGGAAAGCAAGAACCGCCTGAAAAGGAGCCAAGCTAAAGAGCTAAGGAGCAGGTCCTTTCCCCACTGACTTGGACTGGGTATCTGTGGTTGGGGATGCCCAATTCCAGTTTGTAGGCTGCTTCCTGGGAGGGTATGGGAAGGAGAAAGGAATACAGGACTTAGGGCTGTAGTCCCGAAGAAGGTTGCTAACACAGAAGGGGTAGATAGAAGAAACCCTAAGGGAATTCTTCGAACAAACCCCCTCATAATTTTTGTAGGGAGGCGGGGGAGTAAGGGAGGGGATAAGCAAAGCGCCTGCGCCATTTAGTCGCCCCTGGACTGACGGTCACCACAGCCATGCCGAACCCTGCAGACCAGGGAAGGGAGAATGCTCTCACAAGGCACACATAATCATCCCTTCCCCCCTCCAAATAGCAACTCTCTTTCCCTTCTATCACTTTCATCTCCTCACTACCATCCTTATTTTGGGGAGAGGGAAGGGGACACTGATACTGAAAACTCGTAGAAAAGCAATCGGATCGATTTGGCCAGTAGCTATGGGTAAGATTTTGTCTTCCTTTAAATAATAAAGTGATGATGATCACGCAGTTATCTTGTCGAAAATATTTCTGAGATGTCAAAATAACTTTCTCATCTTATGTTCCCCGCCACCACCAAGCTCCAAACCTTCCCTTTCCCAATTTCCCAACCATAAAATAATAAATAAACCAGAGGAAAGAGAGAGAGAATGAGAAAAATAAATGGCCACACTTACCTAAATCCCGCGTGGAACATATACATTCGGGGCACCCTCGGGCTGGCGTACTTGGGAGTGGTGAAGATGTTATCCTTTTTCAAGGACACATAGCTAATCAGACAAAAAATCAGCAAGGCGACGCTGAACATGACCAGACCCAGTGCACTAACCACCCGGGCCATTTTGCAATTTCTCATCTTGGGGAAGGCGTGAGTCAGTGAAACCCAAGAAATCAGTCCATTGAGTTGCAAACGGCTGCTTGGGAAAGGGGGGGTGGTGGTGGTGGTGGTGGCGAACGTGGGGGTGTGTGTGTTAGAGGGTGTGTGTGTGTGTGTGTGTGTGTGTGTGTGTGTGTGTTGTGTGTGTGTGTGTGTTGAGTGGGGGGGCCCTCTGGGCTAGGGGAATAGCGAAAGGGTAGGGGTGGGCAGACAGAGAGAATCCGAACCCCCTAGGAAAGGGAGAGCCGGGACAATGAAGAATTAAAAATAAAATGGAGGGCTGGAGCTGCGGTGTCGAAATGGCAGCTGACTGCGTTCTACGTCTCCTCTTCGCTGCCTGCTCATTCTACACCGCGAGTTTCCAGTGGGGCTGCCATCCCTCTTCACGGATGCAAGATAAATGTGATTGGAATAATGTTACAGTTCGATCTAGGCACAGGATTTAATTAATGAACTCTAATCTCCCAAATAACCTTGGTGGGGGGACGGTGAGGGAGGGAAAAGGAGGGGGCCAAGGGAGAGGAATTAAGGGAAAAATACATCAGCCCACAACATCGGGCTGTTCAGAACCAGGCTGGATAAAGCTGGAAGGAGGATGAATGTGGGGAGACAGACACCCAAACTTATTTTAATGGACCATTCATAACTTTATAAATAAATCGCAGAATAGAGAGATAAATAACAGGATTTGCTGCCTCCGAGGATAAACACCAGCTGTGCTCTTCCTGTATATGCAGTGAAAATAGTATTAGTGAGGCATGCATTTAAAAGCTTCTATACCCACTAAGAGAAATCACCCCCACACCACTCAGTAACCCACGTCCCCACACCCTGAACAATCGCCAGCCAACCATTACTGTTATTCCCCCTCCCTTGAAAGTGTGTAGTCAAAGACTATCCTGCCTCCAACATGGTGTGGACTAGCCTCAACCATACAAAATGTCTCATTGTCTCCTCATTAACAGACAGAAGAACCCAGTGTCCCTCCCACATCAAATGGTGGTAAAAATAGTGAAATTTTCATTTTACTTGAGTGTAGGGACTTTAGCTTGTACTTCTTTTTAACCCCATCCCCAGAGCCTAACTAAAAGGTAAGCATACTTAGTGACTGAACAATACAAGTTTGTTGATAAATTGAAGATTCACAATACCTAGGTCTTTCTGAGCCTGACCTGTGACTTCATTCTTGGCTTCTCTGGTTTTGCTCCCATTCTCTTTTACTAAGTCCTCTATCTCAGGACTTTAGGGAGAAAACACACTTAGAATCACTTTTAATCGAGCATTTGAGGGTTGAGAAGAAACTCTTACATAGATAATCCAACCCCTTGCAGTAAGCACTAGGCCTTTGGTACATTAGCTATACCTTTGGCCTTGCCTTTCAATATTGGTCAATTAGCACTAATGTAAGAGTGCTGGAAATAGGAATTTGGCTGTGAAGGCCTTTCTCCAATAAAACAATTCAAGGTATTCCAGGCAAAAGTGCTTTCTTCAGAATTGCCATGGCTCCTTGTTTGTACTTCTCAAAGGCACACATCACATTCAACCTCGTGGCATTTTTATTTATGTTTTACATCCCCAACTAGACTATAAGCTCCTGGAGGGGTTTACTTCTGTTCCCCATAAGGCTTAGTGCACAGAGTCTCAGTAAATATTGTTTAAAAGGCAACTTGATTACTGTGTGGAATAGAACATAAAATATGGTGATGGGATCATAGATTCTGAGCTGGAAAGGGCCTTAAAGGTATGAATCCAATCCTTTCATGTAATAGATAAGGAAGCTCAGTGCTGTTAAGTGACTTGACAAAGGTCACATGGGATCTCTTTGTTTTCAAGAATAGAACGTGGAATTTCTTACTCCCTGTAGCCTCTGATATCAAGGCACAGGAAATGAGATAAGAACATTACATTTTTTTTCTTCTCTGTATTGTTTCTGATTCTTCCTCATTTTCCTAAATGACTCTCACATGGCATTTTAGTCCCACATAGCTTCACTGGAGCAATGATGGAAGCACAAATTTTAATACAGATTTTTCTTCCAGAAAAGAAAAAAAGCATTAAGAGAAATTGTAAAATGTTAACAAGAAAAAGAAAAAAACTAATGATAATGAGTTGGCCCATATCTGCATCTGCTATAAGAATATATTGTAGTGGGAAGAACTTTGGCCTGAGAGTCAGGAGGCCTGTTTTCTAGTTTAATGACTCAAATTCACTAACTGTGTAACCCTGAACAATATATTTCATTTCTCTCAGGCTCAGTTTTCTCATCTAGGTGAACCAGATCATTTCTAAAGTCCCTTTCAGCTCTAAAATTTTGTAATTCTAAAAGCAACTCAATTTGTCACATATGCAATTTTACTTAGGTAGGGTAGTTTCTTTATAGGGAGCAATGAATTTCAAAAAGTCCTGTTTTAATAAAACAACAAAAAAGTTTAACAAGTTTATTTTTAATGTGTTTCTTTAATGAGGGCGTTGTAATTTGGACTATATTTTTTAAATGAAAGCATTATCTTTTTGCAAGATTTGAGTGGAGTACTTTGCCTCAATTGGCACCTCCTCCCAATAACACATCATATTAGGTAGGTAACAGTAGACTGATTCTTGAAGGCTATGCTAGGAGAACACAAACTCTAGCAGGTCTTATCAAGCTAGAATGATTTTGAATAGAACCTGATCAGCAGAGTATCAGCCTGGTTGAGTTAGAAAAGTCCCAGGACCAGGAATCTACAGGTTAACAGAGTTTGGGCTTTTTTGTTTTGTTTTGTTTTTAGCTATAGTAACTTAAGAAGTCTACATGGAGAGGTTTTGCAATATGCATTGGTAGAAGATTTACTCATACTGATATAATCCTTTTGATGCCCTTGACTGCATGGTTCTGTGTCAGCCACTTACATCTTATCTTTTTTAAAATTAAATTTTATTTCAATGAAAATCTACCTTCTCTCCATCCCACCCACGCCAATTGAGGAAGACAAAAAATGAAATGCTTGTCTTCAATGTGTATAGATAAGAAAAAATTTCAACACTGGCTGGGAGCTATATCTCAATCAGTAAGTACTATCAGTCCATCACCTCTCTATCAAGAGGTATGTAGCATGCTTTATCATGAATCCTCTGGAATCATAGCTTCTAGTTTCATTGTTCAGAGTTTCCAAGTCTTTCATAGTTCGTCTTTACAACACTATTGTTAACTTTATAATTTATTCTGGTTCTTCTCCTTTCATTTGACATTGTTCATTTACAAGTCTTCCCAGGTTTCTCTGAAAGTATGCCCTCCATCTTTTTTTTTAAATAGCACAATAGTTTTCTGTCACATTAATATACCACAATTTGTTCAGTCACTACTCAATTAATGAACAACTCAATTTTGAATTCTTTATAACTGCAAAAACAGCTGCTCTACTTTTGTACATGTGAGTACTTTCCGTCTTCTCTCACTTTGGTATTTAGACCTAGTCGTGGTATTGCTGGGTCAGAGGTATGCACAGGTTAGTGTCTTTTAGGGAATAGTTCCAAAATTGCTTTCTAGAACCAGCCACTTTATCTTTTAAGAGATGTCTGCCACTCTACCTCTTCTGAGAAGGCACAACTCATACTGTGTGATAAGAATGATGCTACATAAATGCAAACTATTAGTGATAGCACTGATCTAATGAAAAAAGGGATGGGACTAGTCCTATGGTAGAGTTAACCAATTGTCTATTTGATTCCATTTGAGATATTAAATGATCTACTTTTGGATTTATATTGAACTGGAATGTAATAACTGGAAAGAACCTGAAAGATCAAGCCCAATCCCCTTTATTATACCAATGAAGAAAAAGTGATCCTGAATAGGGAAGCATCCTGATCAACTCTCATAGTGAGTTGGTGGCAGAGAGAACCAATGTTTTTGACTCCTAGTCCAATGAAGGTTTTCTTATCCATTTTCTATCTACTCCAATAATCTTTTGGTGTTGAGTAATTTTTCAGTTATGGCCCATTCTTCATGAATCCATTTGTGGTTTTCTTGGCAAAGATACTGAAATGGTTTGCCATTTCCTTCTCCAGCTCACTTTCCAGATGAGGAAACTAAGGCAAATAGGGTTAAGTGACTTGCCAAGGGTCACACAGCTAGTAAGTGTCTGAGGCCAGATTTGAACTCACAAAGATGAGTCTTCCTGACTCCAGACCTGTCACTCTATCCACCCAGCCATCTAGCTGCATCCAATAATCTATTAATATGCTGAAAAGTACTACTATCAATGTCACTCATTCAGTAGCTGAGCACCTATTATATTTTTAGTGTACCAAGTTCTATGGGGAATGCTAACAAGCATAATACTTGGACTGTCAGAATCAGAGAAAGTGGAAGGTGCCTTACAGGTCAGATAGTTGAGCCCTCTCATGTTGCAGATGAGGAAATATGTCAAGAGAGGTTAAATGGCTTAACTAAAGTCACAAAACAAAAAATCAAAGTGAAAGGACTCAAAGACAAGTCTTCAGACTTCAAGTCAACTCCTTTTTCCACAAAAGCACATTTTCCCTTCAAGGAACTCACAGTCTGTTCAGGGAGACAAATATGCATAGATTGACAATAGAACAAAGCAGTCTATCACAGGTGTCAGATGAGCAGTAGAAACAATAGAAATATGGAAGTTGAGAGGAGGAATAAAGACTTTAGGATGCAGTAGTCAAGAAGAGCTTCTTGGAACAGGTGATATTTAAGTTGGGCCTTGAAAGATGAATTGAATTTCAACACCTTGAAAGGAGGGAAAAAGTTATTCCTGGCCAAAGGAATGGCAAAGGATCACAGAACATAGAGCTGGAAGGAGTCAGAGATGTCCTTCCATTTAGTCCAATTAACTTGTTTTATAATGAGGAAATTGCAGGTGAGATGGGAAAGTGATTTGTCTAGATAGTAAGTAGCAGAGATCAGCTTTGGGCCCAGGTCTTCTGAGTCAAAATTCAATGTTCTCCCTACAAGTGCCCATAAAAAAATATTATACAAAGTAGTGAATAAAGGGGAAGAAGAAATATTGACATGTTCTAGGAATATCAGAGGGGAAAAATGCTAACAACTGGAGGGATCAGGGAAGGCTACCTCAAGATAATTCGGGGGCCAGTCTCTGGAAAATAGTTTGGAAGAAGCTATTTATTTAGTTGTGTTAATCTCTTAGGCTGTCCCTGGGAATTTCTTATATTGAAGACATTTTTTTCTCTAAATATTTCAGGGTATTTCTTTTTCTAGAAGCCAAGACATTGCACATGGAGGAGCCACTAAAAATAACATTATGGTTTCAATTTAAACCATTCATATGCCTTATTGTGTTTCTTTATTGAACTAAATATCAGTAAGAGAAATCACCTGGGCTTTAGAGGCAGCTGTAGCACATTGCCTACATACTGTCACATGAACCTTTT